TACCTCTCCATCGTTTACAACGTTCGTAATTCGTAAATAACAGTGCCGGTGCGCCGTGGCTCCGCGGGCGTTTAGCATATTTTATAGAGAAAAGGAACGGAAGAGAAAAACGGAAAAATAGAACGCCGTCGGATGCGGGAGGGATGGAAATAAATTAAATTGAGGTGAGATGAGAGCATGTGTGATGGATACGCAGGATTTTATTTTATTTCCAAAATTCGGAGAGATTTCATTGTCACAATCTGTGAAATTATTCCGTTATTATTAGTGATAGGTTTCGATAAATTGTACGTAAAGAAATACAAATTATATTTTTTAATTACAGTGTGAGGATAATAATCAGTTTGCAGTATGATAAAGTTTTAATTATTGTATTTAATTATTTTTGCATAAAAGAGATTATACAATGACTGTACATTAAATTCCTTAAATAATTAAGAAAAATAAAGATTTAATTACAATTTATAATTATGATAATAATAATAATCATATTTCTTACTAATAAAAATATGTTATATGAAAGTGATTTTAACAAACTTTTTTTTACGTAAGAAGTTGAGAAAACGACATAAATCTGTCGTTCGAATGATCCGGAAAATTTGAAGCGACGTATTCTCAAATTCCTACCTTCGTTCTGACTTCGTCACGCTCGATCTGGAGACGCGCCATCGATCCATCATCAAGAAGAGAGAAGTATCCGGCGGTATCTGGAATACGTCAAAGTAAGCTTTGAGTTTCGCTCGTGTATTTCGTCCCTTTTCGGAGAGAGAAGGCCATCTCGCGCGCGCGAGACCATATGGTCGTCGGCGGCACAGGTCATTATTTTCTAGCAGGATTGTTCAGAAGAGGGGTCCAAAGAGGAAGGGGAACGTGGAAAGGGAGAGGATCGGAGGATCCACCAACGAAATTGCTTGAAAATTACTCGACGCACCTCGCCCCGGCTTTTCGTTTTTCGGGGATAATTTTATGATCCCCGGGATTTTTAATTTGAATTTCAATACGGAGCGAGACGCACATGATCCTTCTTCTTCGTGCCTCATTTTTTTTTTCCCGAACGCCGATACCGACTGCCACGTCGAAAGTATCGATTCATCCGGAGAATGGCAGGGTATCTGTTCCGCTTAAATTATTTCCGCAAAAAATTGATCCGCACATCCCAAATGTTGTATCATCAACGTTATACATACGTGTCGTTGAAGTATCGCGTGAGGAAATTTAGCAAAAAAATTTTATTAAAGATTAAATTTAGAATAAATTATAAATACTGAAGGATACCGTTACAGTAATATACTTACAGTCCCCTTAATCACGTGCCGTAGATAAATTATAACTTTTTATGCTGTAACTTTACGCTCTACCTCGGCGTCAGCCAGCTATGTGATACATCGGGTAGCACTTAGGATTTAATATGCGTCTCTTTTTATCGACGTATTAAGAACGTACCGCCGTTAAGATCGTGCCGCTAGTCATGCGAGGAGAGTTTAAAATACCGTGACGAAGATTGTACACACGCAGAAACACGGCAGCGTTTTACGAGTGCGTTGTCGTGTACACACTTTCGTTCAGTTCGTTAAAGAAGAGTGACTCGAAATTTCTAAGCAGCCACTTCGTCCGCTCTCGAGAAATCTTAGAGTGATCTCAGATCTCCACTGAACGTCTCTAAACTCTTATGCAGATGCAGCTTTGCACGAAACTCGTCCGCCTGAAATGCTCCCGGAGCGTTTAGCCTGATTTGCATATTTCTTAAAACACGCGGCGGGGAATCGCGCGAGAAACTAAAATACAATCTGGAACGGAATACCGTGGTTTTTACGACGCTGTTAATCGATAAAATTTGAAATAATGAACGCGCGTATCTAACAAGAAGTGCTAATTGCTTCCTCAATTAGTATCCTTTTGCGCTCGGTCGTGGCGCTGTAAACTTGTATTTATTGACATGACATCACATTTGAATGGTGTGTATCACATCTGTCGCAATGGTATGCCGATTGCATCGGCGCGAAATATCAGGCATTTATTACTTACTTTACCGCAAGCGGAATTAAGATAAAATTGCATAATACATGCATCGTAATTGTGACACATGTTCACAAATTGGCTCGGCTCAATCGCTTGTTTCTCTTTGCTCTTGCGTCCTTCTTTCTTTTACTTTTAGCGCTAACCATACTCCCTGGTAAAAATAGAGAATGGTCCTGCTGTTCATTCCGCCCTTTCTAGATTTTTGGAGGATAGAGCCTGGCGTCGGAACTGTATTTTTTCCTCTTTGAAGATAAATTCGTCTACCCGCGTGCCATATGTCGACTTAATCCTGGAAAACATTTTCCGATTTCTCGCATGCAACAGATGGCTGGGTGGAGCAGCGTTCTTCTTTCGATGTATCTGGAAATCTCGTTATCTAATGTTTTATATCTTTAACAATATATATAATTGAATTAAATTGAAGTTGGACTAAATATAATATAAACATGACAGAAAGAGAGAGAAGTTATATATATTAAATTATTTTATATATTATTATATATAATTATATAATATATTAATAATTATATAATTATATAATAATTTAAATAATAATATTATATGTTAAATATCATATATTATATATATATATATTTTATAAATTATTATATATATATATATATATATATATGTATTATATATATATTAAAGAAAATACTTGTTCTAATCTGCAATTCTAAATAAGAAAAATAAAAAATTGTGAATTAAGACTATTAGAAAGATATAATATAAAAAATATAATTTCATACAAAAATTTAAAAATTACAAATTATTTTAAGAATTAAAAAATTATTTTGGATCTAAAATCTTTGTTTCATTTTTTGACAATTAAAGCATAGGACATAACAATTCATATAACAATGTGTACTCCTATGTAACTCCTATGAATTCAGAAGAGGTAGAAATGACGTGATACATCGCGAGAGGAATGTGTGTGGGAAGGGACGATCTTCTATTATAAATCATAAGGATGATTATGTTAAAATCCGCTAGGGTCAGCTCATTAGTTCGCGAAATATCGTCCGGTTTCTCTTTTTATCTTGACTTCCCAAGGCTATCTAGTCGGGGGGGACGAGATGAACGACGTAGAAAACAATTTGGACGACCCATTTGAGATGTGGGTAGTGCCTTAATTAGTCCCACCATAGCAGATTACCAATCAGCAATTCGGCAATTACGATGCGATAATTTTTCAACCTGCTGATCATTATATTCTTTAAGTACGATAAGTATATCGATAACATACTGATATACGAAAATGTATTTTTCCTCATTTTCTGCTCATTACTCGTACTTCGTAAAAATGTCGGAATATATAAATTTTAAAATTATTATTTTTGTATATTTATTTTTTATGTTTTTTTACGAATTAAATTAATAGAATAGAAAAATACAATAAAAAATAAATACAATTCTTAAAAATATAAATAAATAAATTTTTATTCATAAAACAATATTATTAAATATTGTAAAAAAATATGTAAAATCTAAAATAAAAAAATTTCAAATTATCTTTGTTATCTTCTGGCCCAAAATAAAAACTGTATATGACAATAATATTAATAGTGATAATAATAAAATTGCATAAATAATTTGTTAAAATATGAAATTATATCTTAAAAGTAGACTTTTCAATTTAGTACAATTAAACAAAAAGTTCCCATTTATTCTCTTCTTATTTTTATGTGAAAATAAAAAGAGGATAGCATCTATTCAATTTCGACAAATCTTCCTCTTTTCTGCCCCTCTCGCCTTGAGCCAATCCCACGAAAGAAACTGTTAAATCTATTACGGCTGTAAAGCTCGATCACGATCATGTTCCGTGAAGAGGGTCGAGGATCGAGTCTCGAGCGGCGAGTTGCATCTTAGTATGAAGGGGGGATAAAAGGGAGAGACAGAGAAGTGTGTTTTGTAGTTTCGGTGGGCCAGGTCGCAGGTAGGCGGCAAGCGGACCCCTGAAATCGCTCGAAAAATGAGGGGGTATACAGGCCCCCGTAACATTTCTCTTCTCTTTTTTCTTATTCGAACGCGATATAATCGTTTGTCCTCCCATGGAGGGTGAACGTGGAAGGATAGCGGTGAAAGGGATGAAAATCGCGTAGCAGTTTGTCTCTCCGTAACTCTTCCAGCTTGATGATTTTGTTCTCCCGTGTCTTATCGCCGCTGATATCTTACGCACATATTAATCTTTATAATTTAAAATTGTAATGTAATATAATTTAGAATTAACACGCAGGTGCAACTAATTTATCAAATTACTCTGGAGTTATTTTTTAATAACATTATATCAAATTATACCAATGACAGATGATATTTAATTTAAAACGAGATTTAGACAAAAAAATTCAAATTTGTTTTCAAAAATATAAAAAAATGTCAAAAAGATCTACAATTTCGATAAAATTTTAGGGGAAGGATCTAAGGCAGAGTAATAAAGTCAGAAAAGCAGCTTTCGTGTAAGTTCTTATCTGCAGGATGTTCATCTCTCTGAAAAAAGGATCACCAAGACAAAGATACTTGATATACTTAGTGGAAACATGTTATCGAAATTGTTAACGTTTTTCTTCAAAACAATGATATTTCGGATGAATGTAAATAAGAACAGCATACATCATCATTGTTTTTTCATTCTCTTATCATTATCTTATCATTATTTTTTTAACATTCCTCGTCAATTTTATACTCAATTAAGTATGGAGTTTAAAAAAAAAAGAATCCGTACATAGTTGGTAAGAAAATAATCCTTGTAATTTTATGATCAACACATCTCTCTGTCGTTTTCTTAAATCTCTTAGAAACTAAAGAGTATATATTTTCATAATTAATTTTATACCTTTATTAATTTAAATTTTTTAAATCTTGGTGTAATAAAAAATGGAGATCTTACATCCGTATTTAATATATTTATATATTTCAGTTGTTTATATATTTATGATACAATCTTACATAAATTGCTATTTACAAAGAATTACTATTTTAAAACAGGAATCTAGATCTGTATTCTTCATGATTTTATTTTACATTATCTAATGTCCTTAATTTTAAAAATAATTATATTATAAAAATAATTGTTAGCATGTGAAGGAAATTAAGAAAAATGAAAAATGAAAAATGAAAAGTGCCTCTTCTAATTGTTTAGAAAAAATCAGTCTCAAATTGCTAAGATGTGCAGATCATTCTATCTCTAGTACGAGTATTGATCCAGTGAGTTTTCTATAGTAACAACTTGGAACTTTGCATTTCTTTTATTCGACGAGTTTTCTACCTCTCGAGTTTTCTATTTCTTATATTTTTCGCTACGTGCGTCAGGGAAGTATGAATGCCTTCGGGAAATACGAAAATTTCTCGTGGACGAGAGAGTCTTTCGAAACAAATATCTCCGATGACTCGTCAACTCGAATGTTACGCGGTCATCACTGTCGCTGAGGGCTGTTTGTTACCGTCGTTGTTACTCGGCGTGTCTACCTGAGTTGACATTTTCGGCGTCCTATCTATCGAGTCCGTTTCTTGATTTTTCTCTAGATCGACGTAATATACGTGCCGGGCTGCGTAGCAGAGCAGCATCATCTCGATTAGTACCAGCGCGTTGCTTGTCACTGAAATCGAGAACATAAAAATTATGAAATGACTTTATCTACCGCAGCATGTTGTTTTATCTATTATCTGTTATCAACACAACACAATGAAAGATCTTAAGATTATAAAAAGATTTTAAAATCTATATGTTGTTCTAAGTATATATTAAAAAAAAAATGAATTTGATAATTTAGAAGTATGTTCTTGGAATCTAATATGATTTTAATTCAACCAATAATAATAATAATGTTAATAAATTTTACTTTTTATAATTGAAAATATAAAGTATTAATATTAATATTAATATATAACTTTACAAAATATCATACAACATCAATGTCCAAAAGAGGTCTTTTTACAAACGATATGCTAGCTCATATCAATATGAATTTATTCATAGCACGTATGTGTAACGGATGAATTTTTATGGCGGTTGCGGATGCTACTTGACATCTCTTTTCTCAGTAAAACGAGTTTCTTTGTTACATTAGGTCACAGGTCTGCGACGCGGTAAGAAGTAGAGTATTCTAAATTCTAAATTCAAGAACGAACGATCTTATCATGCTGTTTGAAGAAACTATCGAGCCGTAAAATCATTCTTTTATCAGTCCCTAACCTGAATATGGTATAATAGTAAATTAAATGATAAACAGAGATAAGAATGGTATAATTTATACAGTTCCGGAAGCTTATTTAATCCAAACTAAAGACCTCAAATAAATTATTAATTTTCACTTTGTCATAATATGAAATAAGATAAGATAATAAACACGAAACATATTTATATACATATTATATATTACATAATATTTAATGAACATAAAAAAATTATCTAAAAAAATTGTGTGATATGTATTTTATAATTTTTTTCTAATCAATCTACAACAACTAATATTTATTTAAAAATGTATGACTTAACTAAATACATAAATAAATGATTAAATATAAATGAATTGATTAAATAATATTTAAAGATGTAGTTACATCACGTTCATGAACTTTTAATAATAATAGAATCTTTAATAATAATAATGTTTCTTAATCAGAGCTTTCCGATATTGATTTAACGATTATAATTTTTAATTTCTTCTTTATTCAATTTTAATCGTTAACTTTAATTAGAACAGAACTGAGCAAAGACTAAATGATTATGAATAGCAACACTATGTTACCATTTGCATAAATTGCCGGTGTGAGGGGAGGATTGCATGGAAATACTCCTGCGGCAGGTAGTGCTCTCATGATAATACCGGTTTGTAATTTAGAGAACAATAGTACTAATTGCAACACCAATGTCTTGTAATGTAGCTTGGCCTCTGAAACCGACATTAATCAGAAACTTTCATTTCTATTAATTTCACATGAACAATAATATAGATTTTACGGAAATTGCTTCCTGCAACACTCATACAATGATACCAGTATAATTTCCATTGTTCAACCACATAGAATGTGTTAGACTTGACTATGACAAATTTCTCTCGACAAGTGTACAAATTGTAATTAAGAAGGAAGCGTCAACAAAAGGGATATACATATACTAATTTGTTTCATTAAATCGCATAAAAAAAATTAATATATAGAATTAATAATAATATAATAATTAATAATAAATGAATATAATTATGATAATTGTTACATTAATAATACAAATAAAATTAAATAAAAATTATTATAAATAAATAGATTAATAAAATTTAAGAAATTTTCTTAGTTTAAAAGTTTTTTTATCAAAATAAATTGCATTAAATAGAATAATATCATAAATATTATAAATTTTCAATAATATTATAAATTTTAATCTATTAAAATACGAATGTTTGTCTTTTTGAGAAAATTGTATGAGAAAAGATAAAATGATGATCAATTGTGCAAAGACATAATGAAAAATGGATTTATTATACGTTGTGGATGAATCTTCCCTAAAATATATGGCAAGAGAATCCTTGAATAAATATGAATCATACTCATGAATCACACATTTCACCTGGAATTACTGCATGCAAAGTCTTTGTAGTAATAGTTAGACTATATATCCCTAGGAGTATACTGATTATCATGAATGGCTGGAAGAATACACTGTATTGTATAGTGAGCATTGAATCCTCGGCTGCCATGTAAAGCAGTATGAAATAGAGAAGACCCTGAAAATAACAAAGATTTTCTTAAATCTTGAAATTCTTTTAAAATTCTTATATCTTAATTACATTATGTTTTTTTGTTACACTGTAGAAAATTTAAATTAATGCTATATGTAGACGATAATTGATTCTTATAAATTTTAATTATAAATTTTAATCAGTTTGGGAGGTAATTATAGGTAGTTATTTAGCGCGAAAAGAGCGATAATCGGAGCGTGAAGAGGGGGAAGGAAGATCTTTTTTACCTGGACGATAGGAAGCTGTAGGGCTAGAATTCCTATCCAAGACAAATTGGCGTCGGTCATTTGAAGGTTCGGAAAGGGCAGACAGGGCCAGCAGCAACACGGTCCAACTTTTAACATCAACGTTGGCGTCTCGCTGATCTTTCGACGACCAACGTCCACCAGAAGAAGATAGAGCCGATATAGCGAAATCATTAGAAAAATCTGAATGATCGCCTCCGATAGTAACTGGCCCCTGTCGAAAATCGAATGAACATTACTGTCGCATATTTTGTAAGACAAATGGACGAGCGTTAAGTGATAAAATCTTAAGAAAAAGCTATCGTTATTGAAATTAAAATTATTACATAAAACTTAAAAATGTAATTAACAAAGCCTCGTTTTATCAGTTTTTTAAATTACAGTTGTTATTACATTATTATTTTGATTGATTGTAAAAACAAGACAGTGAGTATTTTATATAATAATATAAACTTTATAAATAATGTGAATTAATAATAATGTAAAGAAAAAGAATTGACTAAGACTTTCTTATTCAAATGAAAAAATTTTAAGCGAATTATCAGGTCAATATTTAACGTATGAAAGAGACTAATAAATCTTTATTTCGGAGTAGCAGTATGATTAACAATGCAAACATATTATTTGCGAAGTCAGAGTTATAAAGACTGTAGACTAATTAGATTAATAATTCAATTGATAAATAAATGAATAATAAGAATTATTTTAAAAAATTATTTGTTATTATATATAAAGTGCATTTTAAATTTATGTTCGAACTTGCGAACATATTTCACTCAAATGAGCATATTAAGAAACGAAGAAAAATTATTCAAAACTAAGTCCCTGTCCGTCGATTAATGCCACCTATGATCTTATTATTATTTAGTATTTTTTGCTGTAATTTAAATTTTTTTTATTTAAATTATTTTAAAATTTTGAAAGTCTTCTTACTTTTATTAAAATATTAATTTAAAAAAATTTTTTTTTAAAGAAATTTTATTTAATTTTATTTATAGAAATAAAGATTTTTTATATTAAGATTTATATACGTATTAAATATATATGTGAAATTATAGAGATCTGTAATATTCAATTTGAATTACAGATTGCCTAAGATGGGCATAAAAGCATGAAGTGAAAACAGAATTAACACAATTATGTTTATGTTTTTACGCTTTGTCAGTGGTAAGTTTCTCTCGTTATTTCACTAATGTATTGTTAAATAATTGCAATCGATATCTATTTCTTACCTTGGTATTGCAATTGCTATGAGACTGCAGAAACTTATGATGGGATACACTGATAGAATCATAATGGCGTTTGTTTTATAAAATGCCGAATCTTTTTGGGAAAGGACATTGTGACAAGCATCGGCAGATAAATAAATTGTAAGAACCAAAATTATTGATCCGACACTTAGCAATGCAGTACCAACTGCATTCAAATCTGTAACAAGAAACAATGATTAAATAAACAATTTATAAATATAACTATCTTTTTCAATAAAATTTTACTCAATAAAGACTTTATAAAAATTTATAATATAGCTTTTTCGTACTTTTATTTTTAAATTAAGCAGTTTTTTTATTGCTATTATTTATAATATTTTATTATATTTTGATTTACTTTTAATTTATAAATTAATAAGCTCCATGATAATATAATTTATATAAGTATTTAATTTATTTACTATTTTTTGTTTATAATTATACTTTCTAAAAATATTTTATTTAATTTTATTGAAAACAAAAATAGAATACTTGAATATTAAGATCTAAATATAAGATCGAAACATTTTAATCTCTCTCTCTCTCTCTCTCTTATTTACTATTTATTTATTACGTGATGAGGCATTCTTCCAATGTTTTCCAAGTCATTATCGTTATTTTTATTTTTAAACTTATCTTATCAGCGAATAAATCTGATAATAAAGACGTTTAAATTTTTCGCAACGTGATTACAGTTTTATCAATTAAAGTTAGGAAGCTAATGCGAATCGCGATGTTATAGGTAACTTGCTATAAACTGATTGTAAGAACAGCTTATAATACAGTTTTGAGAAACAAATACATATCTAATTCCAATTACTGTTATTACATTTTCATTAATCTTCTTGATACGTATCTATCGGAAAGACATTTTTATAAGACTTATAAATACTAAGAAGCAGTTATCTAAATTCGATTATCTAAGCGATAAGGAAAATTGATTAAAATAGACTGAAAAATGTCTATAGCTTATTTGATGTAATTTTATACACGATATGCAGAAAACAATAATATATCTTGATGAAGATATCTTTGATATAAAAATATTGAAAGATGAAAGGTAAAGCAATTATTTCAATGAATATATAATTATAGATACATAGAGATGTATATATTTTTTATGTACAATAATAAAAAAATTATATTATATAAGAAGTTAGTTACTCTAAATAGAAAAGTGCATATATACAAAGAAAATTACATTATCACATATGGAACAGTAAATCGTGACTTATCAAAAGCTTGCCGCTATATGCTGTTTAATTTATTCGTTCAATAAACTTTATAACGAGTGAACGAATGAATTATACAATTGTTTGCGAATCGTGCGATTGTATCAAACATTTGCATAGTTCACAAAAGTAACTGTTTAAAGTTTAGCTTTTATAACTTAAAAAATATTTGTTGCAAATAATACAACCACACACAAGCCAAACAAATATCTTTGTGAAACATTATATATAAGTAAAGTATTATTTTATTATTTTTATTTTTTATTGCATTACAAGTTTCTAGATGTGCAGATAAATAATGTTTCTTATACATTCTTAACATATTTTTATTATTTATTTACATTTTCTTTATAGTATCTAGTTCTGCAAAACTTGATTCCTTACAATATTTATCGTAAGGATATTTATCTTTATACAGTACTTTTATAACGGATAAGGATCATAAAAGTTAAATGTTTCCTATCAATTTTCTTAATAGAGTCTATAAATATCTTGCTCGTGTAAAACGCACGTAAAAGTAACAAGTACTCTTCGCGTAAGTTACGTTGAGAATTTTCGAGGATGTTCAACTCGCACGAATACATATAAAGCCTATGTACCATGTACCATGAGACTTGTGTCCAACTTTCACCGATGGGCTTACGTCGCTCAATGCAAGTGTACATTGTATGCATCGCAATAAACTCGTTTTCGTAAAAAAAAAAGAGATGATATTAACATAGCAGCATATTTCCATACGAATGATATGATTACACAAAACGATATGATTACACAAAAAGAGCCCCTTTTATTAGATATAAAAATTATTCTATTCGAAATTTTAAAAGAGAAGCAATTTCTAGAGCGCTTAATACAGTGGTAGCGAATTGAATACACTGATATTTCCGTTACGCTATTTCTGTTTGTACTATTTCTGTTGCGCCAAACTCGGAATACCTGCTTTAGATACGTAACTCACTTTCTATTATAATAATATATCGAGCAAAGTACTCGAGCCTTCAAAAATTGCATTATAAAATTGCAGTGGATATCTTGGAAATAAGGGAATCGATATTAAGTAAGTCGAGGTCATCAAGTGATATATGAGTCAACATGATAATTGTTCTATAATAAGAATTGTATCACGAAAGTATTCAGAAAAGTAAAAGTTTCTCACGATTTAATAATTTAATAATAAATAGAACAGAATTATTTATCATTAAATCGTTAATTTTATTCACTTTTATAATTACTATTTAAATTAATAACTTGTTCGTTATTCAATTCAATATTTATTTGTGTAAATTATACGCAGAATTATAATTATTATTAGAAATCTATTAAATATTAGAAGTAGGAAATAGTATTATTATATTACAATTATTGATATTATAATTACAACATTTTCTTTTTCGCGTGTTTCTAGGCATATTAATTATTTCACTTAACTTTGTATATTTCATTCTTTTTTTAAAATGGAATATTTCAGTTGTATTGTAACGTAAAACTTTCGCGACTATTGGACCGTTATCCGGATGTCGAGACTCACTTTCTACGAGTTCAATAGCAGAGGGCACATAACTTGGGTTGCAATAAGTATCCGTGTGCACAGCAAAATTTTTTATGGTGTCGTCCATGATTGAAGATATTTCACTGACAGATTTTCCACCGAAAGAGAATTGTCGTCTCACAACACCTGACCGTTTGTCACGAGTTTGACAAACGCGAGGCGCGCTCGCGAAGTAGTCTTACCAGCCAATTCGTGAGAGAGAGAGACAGACGTGAACAGTGAGAGTGAGTCCCCACTTTTACCTTACCGCCATTACGATGTTGTAACAAATTATCACAAAAACTGTGTACGCTGCTTGCAAGAGAAGAAGAAAAAGAAGAAGAAGAAGAAGAAGAGAGAGAGAGAGAGAGAGAGAGAGAGAGAGAGAAATAGTGTAAAAAGTTTCCTTTCCGTAAACTTTCTCCCCACTGCAATTTTAAGACATTTTTACATAAAGTAAATGAAATAAATTAAACAATTATTATCATGCTCTATGTAGATAAAAATAAGTAAAAGTATATATACATTACTGTTATAAATAAATAGTTTAAAATTAAAATAATGAAATTAATGTTAATGACAGATGTTAGAAGAAATCAAAATGTAATATTAAAATTATAAATATGGGTAAAATTATTAGAATTAGTAAGATTATTTCAAATTATTAAAACTATTGAACTTATTGAAAGAAAATATTGAAAATACTAATTATTCTTTTAAACGTAGAATTTATAAGCCTTTGAACAGTTTGTGTTAAGAAATGAAGGTAAAAGTACAATTATATCAAAAAATGAATATTAAGTATATTAAGTAAAGTTTTAAGTAAAGTAAAGTATTAAGTAAAGTATTAAGTAAAGTAAAAATATACTTGTTATTACTAATAATATAATATAATAATCAATTTTAATTTTTAAAGAGTTTATAATTTTTTTGTATTATATTTCTGCATATCGCGACCTTGATCAGTAATAGTATAATGTCATAATATCGAGCAGATCTCGATTATGTAAATGGATATATTATATATCGCTTAACTTAATCATTTTGATGCTAATTTTTCTTGTTTTGAATTGTGCATTAATGAAGAACTTATACGCACACAAAAAATTGCATACTCTTTGATTAGAATATATTTTTGAAATCTTATTTCTCTTTCTCTCTTTGTTGTAATAATTAAATATATGTATATTATATATATTTATATCAAATTTATCAAAAGAATTTTGTCTTAATATAGGTAGACATTAGAACTATGTATGTAGAGAAGATTATGAATATACATTTATTCATTTAAAAACATATCGATTAACGCATTAAAAATCAAGCCTTGATAATATGAGAATATGCAGTTTATTCTAACATGATATATGTTATATGTATAATTGATAATTATGACTGTTAGATGATTTAATTATAATATTTCATATAAGAAAATGAAATATACATAAGTTGCATACTTTATTATTGTTGCCTAGAAATATAAATCATTTTGCATCAATGCCTCAGCAAAATCAATTATTATTTTATTTTCTTATTTTATAATTTAATTAATTTTAGAATAACATATATTTTATTTTTATCTTATTTTATTTTATTTTACTTTTACTACGCAAAAATTATATTAGATTATTCGTAATTAATAATATTTCATAAGAGCAATTATACATTCTTAAAGTTTCTTATTTTTAATTTTATTACCAATTGAAAACTTATTGTTACAGCGTAATATTTTCTGACTTATCATTAGTAACTCTTACTGGTTAGCGGGTACTAACTTAACTAGTCTGAAAAAGAAAATATCGGTCACCACGTATCTTCGTATGATACCCGTTACCGACTGTCGTTGAATTAATTTTTTTCTATAAATAATATAGAATATGAATAAATAATTAAGAAAGGTCATAATTTTTTTATTATTATGTTATTATATTTATGCTTGTGAGAAAAAAATTTTACGCTAGAATGTTTCTTTTTTTATAATTTGGCAAATCTTTATATGCTTTTGAAAACATAAATTGTATAAAAATGTAATTTTTCTTAATATCATACATATTTCTATTCTTGTTTATTATAATTTTGTAAAAGAATATATAAAATTAAATTTTACGGTTTTCCGATTCAAAATAACTTGAGGGATTTCAAGAATTCTTTAAGAATTTAAACTTAAATGAGGGGAGAAAATTCTTTCTCTTTCTAATTTTAAATCAATAATTTCTTAACAGATTATAAGAGATTGAATTTTGTATTTTTGGTTTCACGAAGATTTAAAGCAGCTTTATTGGAAAATTGAAAGTAACTTTAGTAAGAAATATATTTGTAGATATTTTTGTAAAAACACATACTATTGCGTACACACAACACACACACACACACACACACACACACACACACACACACACACACT